ATAAATTTTGCTCCAATAATTTAGAGAAATTAGAATTTAATCTCTATCGTTTATAAAATTAGAATTCAACCCGGAAGAATTTTATTAAATCGTGATGAATTCTAACTTTTAAATAATAATAAATTACCTTCTAACTTTTTCTAAACAGGAACAAATTTATAATTTAAACTTTATACACTAAATTTATGAAATTGTTCAAACAACTTTGGTTTAATCACAATAGTTTTGTAAGTTTAAAGGCTATAATTTTGACACGTTAAGCTCGAGATTGTTAAGTTTGAAAGTTTAAGGAAGATTAAATTTAGGAAATCTATGTTTGAGGTGTGAGTTTCAAGAATTTTTAGTGGAATATAAAATTATCTTTAAGTTCATCAATTTTTATTTTTTATTTTGACTATCTTTAAGTTCATCAATTCTTATTTTTTATTTTGACCTTTATGTCGAGTCTTTATCAATCGTTGGCATTTAAGCATTATTGAAGGGAAGATGGGACATTGGGATATTTTTTGGACAATTTTATCCTATTATTCACTTAATAATTTAAAAAATGTTAATTCTATACTATTTTAAAAATTTAGTAATCAATTATCTTATTTATCTTTTATCTGTACACTTGTTCATTATTTAATAGAAATACAACATTTTTTAATTAGTATAAATATTTTGAATTCATATTATAACATTGTTAACAGAGAGAGAAGGGTGGAACCTGTCTACAGCATGTGAATGCTTCTTGAACTAAGGAAGCCATTCCAACGCATTCAAAGCAATAGTCTGCACCTCCACCAGTCATTTCAATAATCACCTGCTCAACATTTACATCAGAAAGGTTTATTTAGTTATAAGCCATCGTCTGAATTCAATACTGTAAACAATCCAATGCTATGACTAAGTCATTTCCTGTAAAAGTTTTGGGATAAATTTGCTGAACGCACACGAATTCTGAGCTATTATTTGTGTGAGATCCCACATCGATTGGAGAAAGAACGAAGCATTTTTTATGAGGGTGTGGAAACCTCTCACTACAAATACATTTTAAAAACTTTGAGGAGAAGCCCAAAAAAGACAATACTGCTAGCGGTGAGCCTGAACTGTTGCAATTTGTAGTTTTAAAAATCCCAAAATAAAAAGCACAAAGAGGACGGACAATATCTATTAACGGTGGATTTGAGTGATTACAGTTTGTAGTTTTAAAAACCCCCAAAGGGGAAAACCCAAAGAGGACAATATTTGCTAGCGGTGGGTTTGAGCTATTACAATTTGTAGTGTGACGGAAATTTGAAACATTGATAAACTACGTACCTGGCTCACACATTTATCCCCAAGACTTCTGGTATTAACAAACTCAGTGACTCCAAACTTCTTCGCTGCATTTGGGAAATGCACACATTTTTATGACTATTAAGTTTAAATAACAATGCATTCATAATATGGAGCATCTTATCTTGAACTCGTGGCTCCTTCAATGGGGAGGAGCTTCAGGATTCTATTTTAATAGACTAAAGAAATGGACATTAAGAAAATGAGAAACAAAAGCACTTGCCAGTTTCAAATTTATCTGGGTTGACATCTATACCAATAATCCTGCTTGCTCCACATATTCTTGCTCCTTCCGCAACCTATAGCAACAATAGTAAACAATGAAGCTTCTTAAGGATCCTATCAAAGTTTTATTAAACTAAGTCAATGGACAGTTCATACAGCTAAACCTATGGACCCTAGTCCAAATATGGCGACAGTGGATCCCTTCTCTACATTTGCTGTTCTCCATGCCGCACCAACCCCTATAACCAAATGTTAACATTCTGATAAATTGTGAGTGCTCTCGAAACTGTCAAGTATGCACAAAATATGCACAAGATAACATTGTATAGTTTCACAAATTTTATCTTGTTAATATGATATTTGAGCAAAATTGAAAGGAAGAACTAGATTTTGAATTGAACCAAATATCGCATATTATGAATTGAACTAGATTTTGTGAAGCAAACTCGAGCATTTTCAGGAGAATACAATTCAAACCCTCATAATAGTCAGTAATGAATAAGAAAATGACCTGTTGTTACCCCACAACTAAGAAGGCATGCCCTGTTTGGAGGGATTGCAGGATCTACTTTGGTTACATTGGCGACATCTACCACAGTGTATTCAGTGAAACTTGATACAAACAGAAAATGATGAATAACCTCTCCATTGAGATCTGTGAATCTGCTTGTCCCACATCGGGGCATTCCGGGAGACACACTGAAAGGCAATTTTGAACATAGATTGCTCTTATTTGATAAGCAATCTTTACAGTCCCCACAGTCAGCCATGAATGTTGGGATTACTGTATCTCCTTTCTTAACTTCATTCACATCCTTTCCTACACTCTCAACCACTCTGCAATGCCAAACAAAAAATCTGAAGCACGTCTATTTCTAGAAACAGAGATTTGGTGCGGAATTAATTGCCTATTCTCAAGAACAAGTCATTCACGGATCAACTACCAAAGGACGGTCACTAAGTTATTAGACGTTTTGGTACACAAAGCAATACAGGAAAAGCCTATTCATCTGTAGTTATCTCGAGCGGAAGAACCAATGAATGATCGGATACAATTACCACAACTAATTGCCATAAATTCATCACGTTTACAGCAGGATACAGCTCATGCAGCGCACGAAAAGAGCATATTTGAAAATCACCAAAAAAAACACAGGCAACATTTTTTTGTTCAGTACATTTCTTCCAGAATAACGCTGAACAACAAATAAAAATCAAAAGTATCCGAAACTTCAAGATCGAATTTCATTTAATGAGGTAGCAGATGATTGAAACAATTCAAAATGAGATGTGGAACTCACCCGATTGCCTCGTGGCCAAGAATTCTAGGAACAATCCCTGGAAAATCCTTCGAAAATGGAAGATAAAAAAAATCGAGTAAAAAAATCACTTCATTCCACAAAGTTCACACCAAAAAACAGAAGAATGAGTACAAGAGAAACCTTCATCTTCCAGAACGTGAGATCGCTGTGACACAAAGAGGTACATATTATCCGAATCCGAACTTCATGAGCCATAGGCGGCGCCACAATTATCTCCTCAATCACTAGCGGCTCCCCAGGCTTCCGGCAGACAGCAGCTAACAAATTTCAAACGCATTAAAAAACATCAAACATTTCAAACGAAATGAGGAAGAGACATTCGATAAAAAAACAAATTCAATCAGAAAAACAATACAACCGAAGAAGTACCTCTGCAGCGGATAGAGTGAAGTCCAGTTGCAGCCGAGGAGTTATCTTCCATGACGGAGGTCGGAAGGAGTTTGTCGGTGATAAGAGTCCGTCCTCTCCGACGACGTCTTCACTGAGAGATAAGAGTAATCTCTTGGGATTGAAGCAGCGAAAGAGTAGAAAAATTGTTGGATTTGGAGCCCTGGAGTTGGAATTTGAAGGCAGATCGTCGTCCGTTATATGTAACCAGTGAAATAAATACGTTTGAACCTGATTTCGCTACCTATATATATATATATATATATATGTCATACATAGACATATGCATACATACATACATACATACATACATATATGTGTATATGTATGTATTTAAAGACATTCAACTACCTATTTAATTTTTCATCTTTGAAAATTTTCATTTATATTATAATTCTTTATTTTTTAAAATTTATTCTCAATTATAATAATAATTTTTTTAAAAAAAATTATTATAATTCTTAGATAGATATAAAATATTTTAATAAAAACTACAATATTTCATAAATAAAAATAAAATGATATTATATTCTCTAATTAAATTCTAAAAATACTCTGTAAATTTTATTTTAAATTATTTTAAGTTTTTTTTCTGTCTACACGTGTAAATAAATCTAAACACATACACATGTGACATTTATGAACCACACATGTTTTTCTGTTCCTCCTTTAACGCCATGTTTTAAATTTTATATGCTTTATTTTATTTTTATTTTTTTACCCTTCTGATTGGATTGGTTCACGTGACAACATTTTTCGTTCACAAATTATTTTTTGTCAAATATATAATATTATATTTGAATATTGCGATATAATATTTCCTCTAAATCATATTTAAATATCATAAGATATTTAAATGCATTCAAAATTTTAAATATATGTTTTGATTTAATGTATTTATACATTTTTTTTAATATTTAATGTAACTGTAATTATATATATATTTTTTAAATAAATATTAAAAATATATTATATAGTTACCCACCATTTGCCACAATATTATTATTATCATTTTAAACAAACGTGTGATGCGTTTGAAAGATACAAAAATAAATAAATAAATATTATTAAATAGTATTATTTAATAAATAATATTAAATAATATTATAATATATACGGCTGAAATCATTCACTTCTCAACTTTAAACATACAAATTGATATATTTTATTAAAACTCATGTACAAATTGAATTACAGCCAACCATTTTAGTTGGTTGTTAAAAGTCAAAAGCATCCTAATGAGGAATTACACTGATATTAATGTCACAAATTATGGTCGACTTTGACTTTTTACTTTTCAGAATCATTTATGGACAGATAAGAAATTTACTATCTTGTGGATGTCTGTGAACAAAGTATCTATGAGTGCAGGTGTATAACGATATCCGCTAGTGGTGGGCTTGGGTTGTTACAAATGGTACTAGAGCCAAACACCGAACGGTGTGCCAGCAAGAACATTAAGCCCTCAAGAGAGTGGATTATGGAGCAAGCCCATTACATCTTTAACGTATCATTTTTAGAGGTCTAGCATATTAGTTGGTTCCATAACCATTTGAGAAATGGAACCAACTTAGGTCATATATTGAAAAAGAACATAATTTTCTCTTTTTATGCATTTTGTTATACACGTACACAAGCTATCAATATGCTCGTTACGTTCCTCTTTTTTTAGGCTCATGAATATTGAATCACTTGAACGTAAATACCGTCAAACCACTATAAGACCGTGTATCGTACTAGGAAATAGAAATCTCGTTTTCTTATTTTTATACCATTCGAGTCGATAAATACAATATGATCACTCTCTTGTGTGTTTACGGTATAATATGATCACTCTCTTGTGTGTTAGGGTATAACAATTCATCGACCGTTGGTGGCAGCTCATTTGTTCATCCACATCACACATCTCAAGCATTTTCCTTCGATGAGCAAACTGAAAGCTTTATTGATGTCTTCGAAACCCATTTCTTGAGTCACAAATTTATCCAGCTCAAGTTTCTAAGGAACAAAAACAATCTCAAATCAGTAAAATAGTTGGATTTCGAGCTCCCTTCAAGGCTTAAAAGCCTCCACACCTTAGGGGAAGGGTATTTTGTTCTCCTCCCCAACCCATGTGGGATATCACAATCCACCCCCTTCAGGACCCAACGTCCTTATAAAAGGTGTTTTGTTCTCCTCCCCAACCAATGTATATCACAATCCACCCCCTTTAGGGCCCTGCGTCCTTATAAAAGGTGTTTTGTTCTCCTCCCCAACCAGTGTGGGACATCACAATTCACCCCTTCAGGGTCCAACGTCCTTATAAAATGTGTTTTGTTCTCCTTCCCAACCAGTGTGGAACATCACAATTCACCTCTTCAGGGTCCAGCGTCCTTATGAAAGGTGTTTTGTTTTCCTCCCCACTCTCCTTCAAAGGTTAGTGTCAAAAGGTGTTTTGTTCTCCTCACCAACTAATGTGAAACATCACAATCCACCCAGCCTCGTGTCTACCCCCCAGGGAACAGCGAGAAGGCTGGTCCGGTGTCTTGCTCTCATACCATTTGTAACGGTCCAAGCCCACCGCTAGCAGATACTGTTCTTTTTTAGCTTTAAAACGCATCTGCTTGAAGAAGGTTTCTACACCCTTACAAAAGGTGTTTTGTTCTCCTCCACAACCAATATAGAACATCACATACATAGTTCAGAACAAGAAGAAACAGTAGATTACCTTATCAGTGTACCATTGAAGGAGAACAGGAATATCATATTTTGGCTTTAATCCTCCAAACAATGATCCTACAAGAGTCTTTCCAGTATGAAGAACATCCAACGAGTCAAAACTCAATACCGATCCTGGTTTGTGCACTCCTAACACGACGGTTTTTCCCCAACCCTGAACTCAAATAATTACAACATGTTTAGTTTCTCAAAGAAAGGACCAAAATGCAAACAAAAAAGCTTGGGAGGACCTGTCTGCAACATGCATATGCCTCTTGAACTAAGGAAGGCAACCCCACACATTCAAAGCAATAGTCCGCTCCCCCACCCGTCATTTCATTAATCACCTGCTCAACATGAACACGAAGTTAATATTATACTCGGTTTGACCCACCACTAGTAGATGTAGTTCGTTAACCGATGTATGATCTTACAATCCACTTTTTTAGGGGTCTAGCGTTCTCGTTGGCACACTACTTGGTGTCTAGCTTTGATACCATTTGTAACAGTTCAAACCAACCGCTAGTAGACATTGTCTGCTTTGACCCGTTACGTATCACCGTCGGCTTCACAGTTTTAAAACGTGTCTACGAGGAAGAGGTTTCCACACCCTTATAAAGAATGTTTTGTTCTCCTCGGTGGCACACCACTCGGTCTTGGGCTCTGATACCAATTGTAACAGCCTAAGCCCACCGCTAGTAGACATTGTTTGCTTTAGCCTGTTATGCATCACCGTCAGCCTCACAATTTTAAAACGTGTCTACGAGAGAGAGGTTTCCACACCCTTATAAGGAATGTTTTGTTCTCCTCGGTGGCACACCGTTCGGTGTTTGGCTCTGATACCAATTGTAACAGCCTAAACCCACCACTAGTAGACATTGTCTGCTTTAGCCCGTTATGTATCACTGTCAGCCTCACAGTTTTAAAACGTGTCTACGAGAGAGAGGTTTCCACACGATTAATGGATCGTCTAATTCGAAATGATAACAAACTCTGTCTCTAATACTAGTTGTAACAACTCACCCACTACTAGTAGATATTGTCCGTTACGTATTGCTATCAGCCTTATGTAGTTTTAAAACATCTACGAGAGAGAGGTTTCCGCACCCTTACAAGGAATGCTTTGTTCTCCTCTCCAACTGAATCATATTTAAGCTCCTACGTAATTTGCATACCTGGCTTACTGATTTATCGCCGAGGCTTCTAGAATTGACAAACTCAGTGACTCCGAATTGTTTCGCTGCATATCAAGAAATGAACATCGTAAAGGAATGTCGAACACAAGTATTCGTTTTCGAAAATAATAGTTGTAGAATACTTGCCAATTTCAAATTTATCTTGGTTGACATCTATCCCAATAATCCTGGCTGCTCCACAGAGTCTTGCCCCTTCAGCGACCTGTAGCAACAATCATGAACCATGAACCTTTAGCACAGCCTCCCATGGTCAAGTTTTATTCAAACAAAGTCTATATAATAAAGAAAAGAAAGCCATACAGCTAAACCAATGGACCCTATTCCAAATATGGCAACGGTGGATCCTTTCTCCACATTTGCTGTTCTCCATGCTGCACCAACCCCTGAAACCCAAATATTTAACCGTCTCGTAAATCGTTAACAACCCAAGCTCACGATCCACCTCCTTTGGGGCCAGTGTCCTCGCTGGCACTCGTTTCCCTCTCCAATGGAGGTTGTTCCCCTCCCTATTGTGAGATCTCGCATCGATTGGAGAGGGGAATGAGTGCTAGCAAGGATGCTAAGCCCCGAAGGAGGTGAATTGTGAGTTCCCTCGTTTCCCTCTCCGATGTCGTTCCTCTCTATTGTAAGATTCCATATCGATTGAAGAGGAAACGAGTGTCAGCGAGGATGCTAGGCCTCGAAGGGGGTGGATTGTGAGATCCTATCGATTGGAGAGAGGAATGACATCATTGGAGAGGGAACGAGTGTCAATGAGGATGCTGGGCCTCAAAGGGGGTAGATTGTGAGATCCCTCGTTTCCCTCTCCAATTGATGTCGTTCCCTTCTCTAATGTGAGATCTCACATTGATCAGAGAGGGGAACGAGTGCTAGCGAAGATACGGGGCCTTGAAGGGGGTGAACTATGAGATCAATGAGTGTGAGCGAGAACGTTGGGCTCCGAAGTGAAATGGATTGTGAGATCCCACATCGATTAAGGGAGAGAACAAATCATTCTTGGTATGTAAACCTGTACTTAGGAGGTACATTTTAAAAACTCGGAGGGGAAGCCCGAAAAAGAAAGCCTAAATAGGACAATGGTGGCCTTAGACGGTTACAAACGTTGAAAACCCATTATGCACGAGAGCGAGCCTACCACTAAAAACAAAACCGTTATCGAATAATGGAGTAAGAAGGAGACCTGTTGATACCCCACAGCTGAGGAGGCATGCCCTATTTGGAGGGATAGCAGGATCTACTTTGGTTACATTGGCGACATCAACCACGGTGTATTCACTGAAACTTGAAACAAACAGAAAGTGATGAATAACCTCTCCATTGAGATCTGTGAATCTGGTTGTCCCACATCGGGGCAGTCCAGGAGACACACTGAAAGGCAACTTTGAACATAAATTGCTCTTATTTGATAAGCAATCTTTACAGTCCCCACAGTCAGCCATGAATGTTGGGATGACAGTATCTCCTTCCTTAACTTCATTCACATCCTCCCCTACACTCTCAACCACTCTGCAACATCAAACAACCACATTAGATCCGCCTCGTTTAGTAATGATTTCGTTCTTAGTAGTCGTAAATAAATTTTTCGGAGACTAAAAAAAAAGTATTTTTAAACCAAATTATTTCGAAGATTGGATTAACCCAAAATTTTAGATTGGTTAGGTTGGTGACTCGAGTAATTCGAGTAATGTTTACAAACCAAAAGGCCTCAAAGCAATGCCATGAGAGCTAATGCTCAAAGTAGACAATATCATATCATTGTGGAGAGTCGAGTCGTATTTATCTAACTGGTATCAGTGTTTATTATCATATCATTGTGGAGAGTCGAGTCGTATTTATCTAACTGGTATCAGTGTTTATTATCATACCATTGTGGAGAGTCGAGTCGTATTTATCTAACTGGTATCAGTGTTTATTATCATACCATTGTTGGAGAGTCGGGTCGTATTTATCTAACTGGTATCAGTGTTTATTATCATACCATTGTTGGAGAGTCGGGTCGTATTTATCTAACTGGTATCAGTGTTTATTATCATACCATTGTTGGAGAGTCGGGTCGTATTTATCTAACTGGTATCAGTGTTTATTATCATACCATTGTTGGAGAGTCGGGTCGTATTTATCTAACTGGTATCAGTGTTTATTATCATACCATTGTTGGAGAGTCGTATCAGTGTTTATTATCATACCATTGTTGGAGAGTCGAGTCGTATTTATCTAACTGGTATCAGTGTTTATCTAACTGGTATCAGTGCCTGCCTAGTATCAGTGTTTATCTAACTGGTATCAGTGCCTGCCTAGTATCAGTGTTTATCTAACTGGTATCAGTGCCTGCCTAGTATCAGTGTTTATCTAACTGGTATCAGTGCCTGCCTAGTATCAGTGTTTATCTAACTGGTATCAGTGCCTGCCTAGTATCAGTGTTTATCTAACTGGTATCAGTGCCTGCCTAGTATCAGTGTCTAACTGGTATCAGTGCCTGCCTAGTATCAGTGTCTAACTGGTATCAGTGCCTGCCTAGTATCAGTGTTTATCTAACTGGTATCAGTGCCTGCCTAGTATCAGTGTTTATCTAACTGGTATCAGTGCCTGCCTAGTATCAGTGTTTATCTAACTGGTATCAGTGCCTGCCTAGTATCAGTGTTTATCTAACTGGTATCAGTGCCTGCCTAGTATCAGTGTTTATCTAACTGGTATCAGTGCCTGCCTAGTATCAGTGTTTATCTAACTGGTATCAGTGCCTGCCTAGTATCAGTGTTTATCTAACTGGTATCAGTGCCTGCCTAGTATCAGTGTTTATCTAACTGGTATCAGTGCCTGCCTAGTATCAGTGTTTATCTAACTGGTATCAGTGCCTGCCTAGTATCAGTGTTTATCTAACTGGTATCAGTGCCTGCCTAGTATCAGTGTTTATCTAACTGGTATCAGTGCCTGCCTAGTATCAGTGTTTATCTAACTGGTATCAGTGCCTGCCTAGTATCAGTGTTTATCTAACTGGTATCAGTGCCTGCCTAGTATCAGTGTTTATCTAACTGGTATCAGTGCCTGCCTAGTATCAGTGTTTATCTAACTGGTATCAGTGCCTGCCTAGTATCAGTGTCTAACTGGTATCAGTGCCTGCCTAGTATCAGTGTCTAACTGGTATCAGTGCCTGCCTAGTATCAGTGTCTAACTGGTATCAGTGCCTGCCTAGTATCAGTGTCTAACTGGTATCAGTGCCTGCCTAGTATCAGTGTTTATCTAACTGGGACTCCAAAAAAAAAAAAAGGAGATGAGCCTCCGGCATAGTAAAAAACAACTCAAAATTTTCAGTTTTAAAAAAAATTGAACCAAACCCTGATCAAAATAAATCAAACCCACCCACATTTTTTCTCGTTTGAAGTTCGAACCGAAATAAAAATGTTACGTATGGAATGGAAAACTCACCCGATGGCTTCGTGGCCAAGAATTCTAGGAACAATCCCAGGAGGATCCTTCAGAAATGGAATATGAAAAAAAAGAAAATTAGTTCATTTTATTGGTAGAAGAAGGGCTAAAATGAGGAAAGGAGAAACCTTCATCTTCCAGACGGTAATGTCACTGTAACACAAAGAGGTGCATATTATCCTAATCCTAACTTCATGAGCCATAGGCGGCGCCACCATTATCTCCTCCATCACTAGTGCCTCCCCCGGCTTACGACACACAGCAGCTAACAAATTTGTAGCGGAAGCAGAAGTAAGATCGATCGTACTTACCCCCACAAATATAAATTAAATAAAAAGACAAAAATTATACGCTTGTACCGACGTACCAATACTAATTCTAATGCTCATGCATGAATCAAGATGATTAATATACCAAACGAATCCAACAGATTCGGAATGTAAAAGTATTCCTAAATCTTTGATTCAGGAACCAAATCTTCATGACAATTTTCATTAGATATTATCTGCGGTTGGCTAGTGAAGGATTTACACACATAGTCCGATGGGATACCAAATCCAACACGATTCCACCGATGGGATACCAAATCCAACGCGATTCCAACACAATTAGACGAACAGACTCTCCACAATGGTATGATATTGTCCACCCCCAAAATGCCTCATACTAATGGAGTGAGTATTCTTTGTTTATAAACCCATGTGGGACTTTATCATCCAACAAACACTAGTAGATATTACTCGTTATTCTCTTCTCATAACGAAGGCTGCTTCGAATGGATCATATACTAATTCCCTTTCTCTGCAAATATAGAAGAAGGTAGTCTGTGCGCCAATATCCGCCATAAAAAGGCCAAGCCATAACAAATGAGAAGCTATACGACTCAATTCCAACATAATTACTTTGACAGTCTCTTTCTTTTAGATACTTGAATATTTCCCAAGAGTTATTGACCATTTACCGTTATTGCTTCGGTAGGGACTTTCATCATCCAACAAACACTAGTAGATATTACTCGTTATAAACATAGGGAGAGATTTTTTGGGTTTTCCCAAAATGCCTCGTACCAATGGATGAGTAATTATTTTACTCAGTGATCATTTCCGAAATTAGGAAATGTGGGACTTTTATCATCCAACAAACACTAGTAGTTTATAAAAGTTATAAAAGCTCAGTCCACTGCTAATCGAGATTGTCCATTTTGGCCCATTAAATATCATCATCAACCTCATGAATTTTTGAGCGGTCTATATATATATATATATATAATCGAAGAAAATATGTGAAGAAATACCTTTACAACGGATTGTTAGAATTGGTCAATCCATTAGAATAGCTTGAAGTTAGTCATTCCATAAGAATAGGCTTACTTCGTTAGTTTCCTATGAAATCGGATCTATTAGTTAATCTTTTGCCAATATAAATAGAATATGTCCTCAATAGTGTGAGGCACAGTTTTGCATAAACTTGATATGGTATCAGAGCCGAAATAAGATCCACGAGATCCATAGCCTCTGCTGTTAGACATGTCAATCCCAAACAACACAATGTCTTCTCCGTCGATCAGTCAGGTGATTAGTGTTAAGCTTACACAAGAAAATTATCTACTGTGGTCTACCCAAATCCTTCCCTACTTGCGTAGCCAAAACCTTGTTGGTTTTGTGGATGGATCCATGCCTGCACCAAGCCAGACGATCGCCGTTGAACCAAGTGAAGAAACAGGGAATCGCAAAATTATCATCAACCCTGAGTTCACAGTCTGGTACCCCCAGGACCAGCTGGTACTCAGCCTCATCAACTCATCAGTCACTGAGGAGGTTCTCAGCACGATGGTTGGAATCACCACTGCACGAGAAGCCTGGATTACGCTGGAGCGACAATTTGCTTCCACATCTCGAGCAAGAGCAATGCAGATCCGTATGGAACTCTCTACTATCCAGAAAAAGGACATGACAATTGCTGACTACTTTCGTAAAGTAAAACATCTTGGTGATACACTTGCTGCCATTGGCAAGCGAATAGAGGATGAAGAACTCATCGCCTACATGCTGCAAGGACTTGGTCCAGATTATGATCCTCTAGTCACAAGCATTACAACCAGAACAGATGTATACACTGTCAGCGACGTGTATGCTCACATGCTGAGCTATGAGATGCGGCACTTGCGTAAGGGTACATTTGAGCAACTTTCATCTGCTAACAATGTCAATAGGATATCCATTCGTGGAGGTGCCAATGGAGGTCGAGGTAGTCGCGGTCGTAGTCGTCAGTTAAATAGTGGTCATGGACAATCAAGGCGTACTGTGAACAATCCTGGACGTCAACCATCAAAGACACAAAGCAGCTCAGGCATTGTCTGTCAGATTTGTGGTAAGCCCAATCACGATGCTTTGCAATGCTGGCACAGATTTGATCAGGCATATCAAGCCGAAAATAATCTCAAACAAGCAGCTTTGGCAACAAGTGGATACACTAGTGACACAAACTGGTATGTTGACACTGGAGCCACAGATCATATCACCAATGACCTAGAGAGGCTTACCACCAGAGAACGCTACACTGGCACCGACCAAATTCAGGTTGCAAATGGCGCAGGTTTGTCTATCTCTCATATTGGGAATTCATTAATTTCTGGTTCATCTCTTGTTCTGAAACATATCCTATATGTTCCTAAAATCAATAAGCACCTAATTTCAGTACAAAGACTAGCATCTGATAATAATGCTGTTGTAGAATTTCACCCAAACTATTTTTTGGTTAAGGACCGAGTCACGAAGAAACTCCTGCTCCACGGTAGATGTAAGAATGGCCTATACGTTCTACCGCATAATTTCAGTCAAGCCTTGCTGACAGCCAAACTTTCGAAAGAACAATGGCACAGAAGGCTAGGGCACCCTGCATCTCCAATTACCATTAGAATTCTACAAGATAATAATTTAGCTATAGATACTAATATTCCCTCTTCCTCAATTTGTAATGCTTGTCAATTAGGGAAAGCACATCAATTGCCATTTGGTTCTTCTCAGCATGTATCTACAGCACCCCTTCAATTAATTCACACTGATGTATGGGGTCCATCCATTGCGTCAGTAAATAATTCCAAATATTATGTTTCCTTTGTTGATGATTTTAGTCGTTATGTTTGGATTTACTTTCTGAGATGCAAATCTGATGTTGAGTCTGTGTTCCTTCAATTTCAAAAACATGTTGAAACTATGCTAAATACCAAAATTCGCTCCGTCCAATCAGATTGGGGGGGTGAATACCATCGGTTACACAATTATTTCAAATCCACAGGCATTGAACATCATATCTCCTGTCCTCACACACACCAGCAGAATGGGTTAGTCGAAAGAAAACACAGACACATTGTAGAAACTGGCCTTGCTTTACTCGCTCAAGCCAACATGCCTCTATCCTACTGGGATGAAGCTTTCAACACAGCTTGCTTTCTTATAAATAGAATGCCCAGCCGAACCATACAACAAGACACACCACTTCATAAATTGTTTGGTAAAAGTCCAGACTACTCCATGCTTAGGGTGTTTGGCTGTGCTTGCTGGCCTAATTTAAGGCCTTACAACAACAAGAAACTGAGTTTCAGAACTACTAGATGTATATTCTTGGGTTATAGTTCTTCTCATAAGGGATATAAATGCTTAAATAGAAGTACAGGACGTATTTACATCTCTAGAGACGTGGTTTTCGATGAAAATATTTTTCCTTTTGAAGAATCTAAGCCACCAAACAAAACCACAAATCCACCTCATCCTGTTCTACTTCCAGCCTTAGCCAAACTTGCTAGTTTTTACACTGAAAATGCTCTTACAGATATTGAACCAGTTGTTAGTAATTCCCATATGAATGATGGTCAAACTGATAATATTGCTAGTGACAACTTGTCTGGTGTCAGCTTATCTTCTGCAGATAATACAAGAAGTTCAGAGGAAATTGCAGAATATGAAGCTGAGAGCAGTTCGATCAATGCTCAAAACCAAACTCATGAACATGTGTCTGATCAACCAACTGAAGCAGCTAGTCAACATCCAATGCGAACAAGGTTGAGAAATAACATTGTACAAGCTAAACAATTCACTGATGGAACTATCAGATATTCAGAAACCTCAAGAAAATTCGCAAGTGCTGTAACTATCACAACTCCGATCATAGAGACTGCTACTGAACCTCGAAACCTGCAGGAAGCCATGCAACATCCAAGATGGAGAGGAGCAATGAATGATGAGCTCTCAGCGCTAAAACGAAATGCCACTTGGGATCTAGTTCCACCCAAACCTGGAATAAATCTCATTGATAGTAAATGGGTGTATAAAGTGAAAAGAAAAGCAGATGGGTCAGTTGAAAGATTAAAAGCAAGATTAGTTGCCAAAGGATTCAAGCAAAGATTTGGTGTTGATTACACTGATACTTTTAGCCCTGTGATCAAACCGTCAACAATCAGGGTCATTCTTTCGCTAGCAGTAACCAAGGGCTGGAATATGAGACAAGTTGATATCCAAAATGCATTTTTGCATGGAATTCTGAAAGAGGAAGTGTACATGCGACAACCACCAGGATTTCAAGACTCAGCCAAACCAAAGAATTACATATGCAAGCTCAAGAAAGCCCTTTATGGCCTGAAACAAGCCCCAAAAGCTTGGCATTCAAGGTTGACTGGAAAACTTATTGAGTTAGGCTTCAAGGCTTCAGTAGCTGATTCATCTCTTTTTATTCTCAAAAACAGAGAGATAACTATCTATATGCTCATCTATGTTGATGATATAATTATTGTGAGCTCCTCTGATCAAGCAACCGAAAGGTTGATTCAGAAATTGAAAATAGATTTTGCAGTAAAAGATTTGGGTGGTCTTGAGTATTTTCTGGGTATTGAAGTCAAGAAAACACGAGATGGTATCATACTGTCACAGAGACGATATGCCTTAGATTTGTTGAAAAGAGTAAACATGGAAAAATGCAAACCTATGTCTACACCAATGGGTTCTGCTGAAAAATTATTCAGAGAACAAGGAATACCCTTATCAGCTGAAGAACAATTCAAATACAGAAGTACAGTGGGAGCACTACAATATTTGACAATGACTAGGCCTGATTTGGCATTTGCTGTCAATAAAGTGTGTCAATATCTTCATACACCTACTGATGCTCATTGGGGTGCTGTGAAGAGAATTCTTCGTTATGTTAAAGGCACACTAGCATTAGGAGTGAAAATTCAGAAATCAACCATGATGTTGTCGGGGTTTTCTGATGCTGATTGGGCTGGTTGTCCCGATGATCGACGTTCAACTAGCGGCTTTGCTGTATTTCTTGGAGCAAATCTAATCTCATGGAGTTCCAGAAAACAGGCTACAGTGTCAAGATCAAGCACCGAAGCAGAATACAAGGCCATTGCGAATCTTACTGCAGAAATGATTTGGATCAAGTCATTACTGAAGGAACTGGGCGTGTATCAATCAAAGGCTCCTCGCCTCTGGTGTGACAACCTCGGAGCTACATATTTAACTTCAAATCCAGTATTTCATGCTAGAACGAAACATATTGAAGTTGATTTTCATTTTGTTCGAGAACAAGTAGCACGTAAAGCAATGGAAGTTCGGTTCATTTCATCAAGTGATCAAGTAGCTGATATCCTGACAAAACCACTGTCTAAAACTCCTTTTACTACACATTGTAACAATCTCAACATGTACAAGACTTGTTGGGATTGAAGGGGACTGTTAGAATTGGTCAATCCATTAGAATAGCTTGAAGTTAGTCATTCCATAAGAATAGGCTTACTTCGTTAGTTTCCTATGAAATCGGATCTATTAGTTAATCTTTTGCCAATATAAATAGAATATGTCCTCAATAGTGTGAGGCACAGTTTTGCATAAACTTGATACGGATAGGTTGAAGTACGGTGGTGGGTGGCGGCGCCTTATCTTCCATGGCGGACCTGGGGGAGAAGTTTTCCGGCAGCTGCTGTGTGTTGTCCTTCCAGACAGATGTTTAGAGAGCTCAATGAAAAATGGTGATTTCAAAATACATAATTTATAGCAATTTCAAAGCCTCTCTTTTACAAAATAATGAAACTAAATCCTATTTTTTAGGAAAAACAAATAAAAATAGATTTAAATTGTTGGAATTTATTACAAATTTAGGATTCATTCTGGTTTTCCTCCCCTCATCATTTTTAAATCTTCCATTAATAAAATATTACATTCAATTACTTTTCCTATTTTTTTTAAAATTTATTATTTTCCTATTTTAAAATAGAATATATATATACATAAACAAACAGACAAGTAACTAGATCCCTCTTTGAGTCTGATGTCTGGTCCTGATACTCGAATCTTAGATATGGATAGATCTCTCTTGGAATCTTAGATATGGATAGATCTCTCTTGGAGTCCAACGTCCTCGCCGACACACCGCTCGGTGTCTAGCTCTGATACCCTTGTCCAATCTTAGATGTGGATAGATCCCTCTTGGAGTCCAACGACCTCACTGACACACCGCTCGGTGTCTGGCTCTGATACCCATGTCGAATCTTAGATATGGATAGATCCCTCTTGAAGTCCAACATCCTCGCCGACACACCACTTAGTGTCTAGCTCTGATACCCATGTCGAATATTAGATATGGATAGATCCCTCTTGGAGTCCAACATCCTCACTGACACACTGCTCGGTGTCTAGCTCTGATACCCATGTCAAATCTTAGATATGGATAGATCCCTTTTGGAGTCCAACGTCCTCGCCGACACACCGCTCGATGTCTGGCTCTGATACCAATGTCGAATCTTATATGTGGATAGATCCCTCTTGAAGTCTAACGTCCTTGCTGACACATCGCTCGATGTCTGACTCTGATACCAATGTCGAATCTTAGATATGAATAGATCTCTCTTGGGGTCCAACGTCCTCGCTGACACACCGCTCGGTGTCTGGTTTTGATACCAATGTCGAATCTTGGATATGGATAGATCCCTCTTGGAGTCCAACATCCTCGCTGACATACCGCTCGGTGTCTGACTTTGATACGGATGTCAAATCTTAGATATGGAAGTTTTTTATCACCTTTTAAAGTCAGTTTTTGTAGTGTCTAAAAAAATGATTACAAAAGTCAATACCCTTTAATCTCACCGGTAACTCTTGAAGGGAGGGGTTCAGGTGAGGAGGAAAGCCGTACCCGACTGCAATTGTTCTTATCCTCTCACTTATGGAGCATAAATCGTCGATGGCGAACGGCGGTAAGCCGATCCGGTGCAGAGGTATGAAGTTCCTTACTACATCATCTTCTCTTTGTTTCGTAATTTATGTTGTATTTTTGAAACTTAATTTTTGTTAGCGGCGGTGTGCCAGAAGGCTGGGGAGGCGCTAGTGATGGAGGAGATATTGGTAGCTCCGCCGATGGCCTATGAGGTTCGGATACGGATCATTTGCACCTCTCTCTGTCACACCGATGTCAAATACTGGAAGATGAAGGTTCCTTTCTCTCAATGCTTTGTGGTTTTTTTATGCTCATTTGTGTGATTTAAGTGTGATTTGAAGGCTATTTATCTGATTAATGTTTGATTTGGGATTTATTGTGGGATTCAAGTCTGATTTTGAGCCTATTTCTGTGATTGTATTGTGATTTCGAGTCTATTATGTGTTCAAAATGTGATTTGGAGCCTACTTGTGTGTTTGAAGTGTGATTTGGAGGCCATGTATGTCGTTATGTTTGATTTGAGGCTTTTGTGTGATTAAAGTGTAATTCTGAGCTTGTTTTTGTGATTAAATTTGGTATATGGAGTCAATTGAGCGTTTAAAGTTATATTTTGAGCCTATTCTATGCGTTTACCGTTTAATTTGGAGTTTGTTGTCTGATTTAAATTTGTGTTTAAGCTTAATGTGTGACCAAAGTGTGATTTTGAGCCTATTCGTGTGATTAAAGTTTCATTTTAAGTCTATCGTGTGTGATTAAAGTTTTGATTTGGATCTTATTTGTGTGATTAAAATTTGGTTTGAAACTTATTACGTGATTAAAGTGTGAATTGTGGTTTTGAGTCTATTGGGTAATTAAAGTTTGATTTTGAACTCGTGAAGTGTGATTGAAGTTTGAATTAGAGATTATTGTAGAATTAAAATGTGATTTGAATCATATTTTGAGCCTATTGAACATTAAAATGTGATGTTGAACTCCCATAACACACCAGCCTTTTCCCAAATCTTCCACCCTTTTTACCCATTTCCTTTCCACCTAACACACTACGTTAAAGGATTAACTATCCAGCCCCTACTCTGACTCTACCTCAACCCATCTCTCCCGTCATTGGTCTTCACCACAATCCACCATCCCCCCAAATTTCTTTGCAGATGAAAGGAGCTTTGATAAACAACCTTTTCCTATTTGTATTGAGATCGAATGTACGACATAATATTTACCTTTGGCCATAAATGAATACCCAATTATCGAGGAGGGCGAAACCCTACTTGTTGAGGAGACTAACGATGAAGATCAACTCCCACCGGAGTCTTCGTAAGCTTGTTCCATGGCTGTGGAAACATGGGCTATGTGTCATGGAGATCCCAACCCAATCCAAGAAAGGAAAATCAGCCTCAACAAGCTTATTAGAGGCCCCAACGAATTATTACCATTGTGAATTATGACAAAGCCCCACTCACACCTTGCCATAAAAGGGTACATGATGGCCTTGATTTTTGGCTCATTGATATCTAAGACTCGAATTTCTTAGTAGAGAGGACTTCTTTTTTGGGTTTAGTTGTATGATCTTTCTCATTTATTGTTATGATCCATGCCCAGAATTCAGAATGCAGATTTGACACTTGATGACACCAACATTCCCCTGCATCCCTTGCGACATGGTCACATTACCTACTACTCACTTTTTAAGAGTGAAGACTATCCCCACAGCCAACACGAGTCTTCCAGCATGCTTTATTCTCACTCACATGCATCCCAAGAAAATTCCTATGAGGTCACCCAACATATGCTCCAAGCACGCTTAACTTTGGTTATGATTGAGCCACTAAAAAGGAAAGTGCATGTTGTTGGTATAGGTAGTGACTTTCAATTATTTTAAGCTTTTCTTAGTCATCCTATCCTCAGGATAGCTCTCATTCGGATGTAGTCTCAGTTTATTCATGTACCTTTCCTTTACTCGAGTGTCACATGCCCACCGGCTTCTGCCTTGGTTGGTCCCTGAACCACATCTTGATGAGAGAGGTATCACTCTAATACCATTTGTAAATACCCATGCTCAGGATTCGAAATTCGAATTCGACACCTAATGACCCCAACATTCCCTTGCATCCCCTGCGACATGGTCGTGTTACCTACTGCTCGCTTTTTAAAAGTGAAAATTATTCCCATAAACTAACATGAGTCCTTTTAAGATGCTTTGTCCCCACTCACATGCATCCTAGGAAAATTCCTAGAAGGTCACCTAACACAAAACTGTTCCAAATAAAGCACGCTTAACCATGGAGTTCCTATGATTAAGCCACCAAAAAAGAAAGTGCACGTTGTTGGTATAGGTAGTGGTTTTCAATTTTTTTTAAACCTTTCTTAGTCATTTTATCCTCAGTATCGCTCTCATTCAGATATGGTTTTGATTCATTCATGTATCCCTTATTTACTTGGTGTCACATTTATGTTCTAATCTCACCGTCACACAGCACAAAAAAGCTCGAATTAATTATGTTCCAATGTCACTATCATGATTTTCGAAGAATAACAAAAATCAGAGATTTAATTGATCGTTAATTTATTCCCTTTTTTTTTTCATTTAAGAACAAGATTTTTAATTTTATTTTTTTAGAAAAGAACGAAGTTCAATTGGTTAACTATGGTTGACCTACGAATATTCAAATGTCACTAGGATCCTCCGGGGATTGTTCCAAGAATTTTGGGCCACGAAGCTGTTGGGTAAGTCACAAAGCCTCCATTTTCTCTGATTTGTTTTTTTAATATCTAGCATAGGTACTATCATTTGTATTTCTATTTTCCAATCTAATTATCAAAGCATAGTGTAACAATTTTTATGGTTTATTTTGAAGTTTTTGTTTCTAAAATTTTATTATGATTATATTTATTATTATTTTTTAATAAAAAAATCATAAAAACTCAAGAAACAAATTGTAGATATAACCTTATAAGTAGCTTTATAAAAAAAAAATCCATTGAAAGTTTAGAGACTAAAATGAGATTAGTATGGAAGTTTAGAAAAGCTTAAAGAAACGTAGGAGGGAGCCATTTTGTCCATGTTCGAAGCATGTGAATGTCAATTCTTAAAATGTGAATGTAGTGAGAGATACATATTTGTTATTTTATCAATCAAAGCTAGAAGACGTGGATTTTCATGGTGAATCATTACCATTTAAGACAAACAATGAAAATTGCCTACTAGTGTGCAAAAGAAGTTTTGAGCGAGTGACAATGTTGATGACACAATAAGGATGTTTGAGGTTGCGTGTAATTATTTTGATGAAAAATTAGAAAATTTTGAGGAACTACTAGTTGATGTCGAGAAATTATTATACTGAAACTAAATAATTTGGAAGTGTGGACGAAGCGATAAAAGTTTCACTGAGTTGTTGACATTGTGTTCTCTTGGAACGAAGTACAAGAAGATTCATGTCTGTAGCAATGGTTGTTGCTTGTTTAGAAAAAAGAAATCATAGATACAGATGTATGGCTCATTTGCGGAACATCAAGATCAAAGCATTGTAAAAATTTGAAGGAAGTGACAAAAAAATGTTCCACCATTTGGTTCTTCTCTCTAAGGCAATAAGGGTCAATCTACGACGAGGAATTCAACCATTCTTGTTTACATACTAGAGTGGTTAAGCTGCTTTTTGGATAGTCTTACTAGAGCCTTATGGTTGTTAATATCCAGGCTCCATTTACAATTTTGCTTATCGTTTGACCTATTTGGTGTAGCAGAGAGGTTGAGAGTGTAGGAGACCAAGTGAGTGAAGTAAAGCAAGGAGATATTGTGATCCCAACG